CTTCCTAATGGCGACAAAATATATTCTAAACCTATAGCTTATGTGGAAGATGGTCGCCTGACCTGTATCGCCCACGAGGGACACCCGAGACACAAAAATGTAACTAGCTGGCGCCACCTGGACTGGAACGTATGATGGTCGTCACAGATAGTAGCCCATACCAATACTGTGGATTTCAAAAACCGGAACGCCCTGAGTGATCCAGAGGTTTGACTGCAGATTTTAACGGTTGAACATCCTGGACATCTGCACTAACTGGATAGCTTTCAGTGGCTAATCATGTGTCTCCACAGACAAACAACTAATAAGCAATCAGCGAGCATTTACGCATGTTGCCTATTTACCCTATCAATTTGCCCATCAGCTACAGGCACAGTATCATATCCCAAATGCAGTTTCACAAATTATGTTAGAAACTGCCCTGGGGGCTCCGTTCTTGCTGCTTCAGTTGCAAAACCAGCTAGTACTGTTCATCGATCAAGTTTCTGGTATTACAGGTGGCTGACTCTCTGGGTCATTTGTGGCGATCTCATGAGCATGATCCATCTCACTGTGGAGGTGGTCTAGGAACTAGCATTAGCCACAAGAGCTTCACGCACGTGGTAAACATTTGGTTTGCATTTGGAAGTGAATCGTGCCCCCTCCCCACTGTGCTTTGAAACTGTGTCTGATCTTGCACTGGTCTGGTGGCAACTTTATCGCGTATATTTCTGGATCATGATCTCTGACGTAAATCAGAACGCGTCCGGAAGATGCTTCACGTTAATCGCCACATCAAGATCAGAGCAGACAATGTCTTACAAAACTATATAATCAAACTGCGGGCCAACCAGCCGTGAGAACGTGCAAACGAATGAGGCATGTACACCAGTACCTGGATGCAGGTGCGCGTTTTCACTGGCGATTAGTGCTTTACCTTAAGAGTCCATTCAGCCTTATACTGGAGAGAGTTTACAGGTTTGAAATCTGCTGTTTAGCTGCTGCGATAGGTTCGAGGTGTCCGTACTTCCGAACAACTAATTCGGCAATCCGGATAGAGACTGACAACACGAACAACACTGACATCGGCTAGCTATCATAGCTGATAATGTTTTTGTCAAACGCAAGGATGGGTAGAATCCCAGAAGGCAAATATATACTTATAAAACTCGAACGTTCCCTTATTCCATTCACATCTTGATTCTAAGTCGTGCATTGTCCATCCCGCAGACTTCGCAGCTTTTGACGTCTGTCAACTGTCCCACACCGGTCGTCAGGAAATTACCTTATCTTGTATGCACTGTTTGTGACGTTGGTTTGATCACACAATGTATGCTGTCAAAACTTTTCAGGTCTTCATGCACGGATCTCTAGTCCGAGCCTCTCAGGTGGCTGGTAGGTTGAGAGTTCAGCAGCACATCAATCAGCCAGGCAGCACATGCAACACAAATTACCCCGTATGCACGATTGGGAACTTCATACGAGTACTGAGGGAGTAGTGTAGGAATAGACATCAAACGTACCCACAGTCATTCTAGCGATAGGATGCGCCAAGGGATTTATATTGCACGAACGGAAAAAATCACCATGAGAGTTGCCGACGAGCTCTCATCAGTCATATTACTAGTTTCTTATATCCAGACAATGTGCTGAGATATTAGAGTTAACGAACCAAGTGAAACATGGTGCGGCCTTGTGCAGCAGATTCAGTTGGAGAATGGTAGGCTGTCGAACAGTTTACAATAACCTACTCAGAAGTGTCACATCTGCTCAGCGATCATTTAGCTGATCGACTGATTGGTAACAAATTAAGAGTAAAAATAAGAACAGTTTCTGGGTCTGGACAAGTACGCAGCATTTTTTCTGTAGGAACTGCCTAACTTCGTTTTGGTCTTTCTCCTTGTAAAGCCAAACCAATGTTTCAACCCTCTGGATGCGTTCAAACTGTGAGACTTCCGTATCACTCGAGACTTGCACGTCCTCCTACTTGAGATGGTATATCCCGCAGAAGCTAAAGGTCATATAATTCTAAAATCAGCGATACTGTTAAATAAAATTTGGTGGCTAAAAATCTAGAGAGCCTCGTGTTACCCCATAGAATCTCGCTCTGTAGGGTCCAAGTGCGACTCAAGTGGATATGTTTTCATACAAAATCTCATTCAATTTACAGCCTTTGCGTTGACCGTCATCTGCGGATGTTTTTGCAGATCAAAATTTTTAGTATTCCACCCCTTTGGTGATCGTTCCAGAGAACACGTAGCTTTCACGTAAATCCGGTATAAAAATGCCGGGTGCACCTTAACAATCCATGGAAACTCCCATTGACGCTTGAACTTGGGATAAGTTAATTTCGTGCGAAAGAGACTTGCACACATGCTTCCTTGTTGACGATAACCTCACCTACACCACAAACGTCCAATGGAATACTGGAACGGCAGATGAAAGAGGGAACTGAAGAGGTTCCCACTCTCATCTCACAACTCTAAACGATAGTAGAATATTCTGAGAATCAGTCGCTTCGGTCATGCTGACAACTTAGCAAGAATTTTGTCTTGGAAAACTAACACGGCAACAAA